CGCCGCCGGGCCCGGGAGCCGCCCGCCCGGCTGGTGCTGCTGGCGCTGGCGCTGGCCTCCGGCTCGGCGCTGCTGCTGGCGTCGCTCAGCCTGCTGCTGGCCGCCTGGCCCCGGTCGGGCGCCCGCGCCCTCCAGCAGGACGCCGCCGCCGCCGCGATGCCGCAGGTGAGGGGCGCGGGGAGCGCGGGGGGCGCGGGCCGGGGGGCCCTTCCTGCGCGTGTCGCCGAACTGCGCGGCGACGCGGATCCCGCCGCCGAACTTGCGCCGCCGCAGGTGGGTCCGTCCTGGCGAGGGAGCGCAAGGGGGCCGCTGCGCCCGCACGGTTCGGCGCGACGGCGCTCGGGGCCAGCGGCCAAAAAAGCGCCCCCCCACTTTTCATAAACAGCCCGTTATCCGGCCGCCGAGTGTAAACACGCCGGAGGCCGAGGAGAACCCTTTGGATCCCTGCGGACGGTGGGTGGGCTGAGGGCGGCTCGGTGCTCCCGGGGTGGTCGGCGTTGCACCCCAGGCCACCAGGAGAGCGCCGCGTTGGGGAAGGCCGGGCTCCGGCCGGCTTGGCCGGGCGCAACAGGTGTTCCCATGAGCAGACAGAAAATGTGTGGGAAGGGTCATAAGGAAGGGTCGGCTGGCGGGAACAGCCCCGTCCTGGGAGCCCTGCAGGGCCGAATTAGCACCTGTTCTGGGAGAGGAGCGCCTGGGGTGGCAGCCGCCTCCCCAGGCAGAGGTACCCTGCGCCGCTTTGCACAGCGGACTCACGGGGGTCTCACGGGGGGTGCAAGAGCTACGTGTGCCCAGGCGCCACTCTCTGTTGATGCCGGACGAGAACCAGTGCACGCCGGGCAGACACGGCGGCCTGTGGCGTGTGCGACCGGCCCTGGCAGAGGCTCGGCCTGGTAGGCAGTGCTTACGGTCAGAGCCTTTGCTCAAACATTCTCTGAGTGGGCCGTTTTTCCTGTGCCTTTAACAACTGCTCAGCAGGCGGTAACTCAGCAGGTGCAGCCTTGGCTCTGCAGGAAGCTTTGCTTGCTGGGTTTCTGCCTTCCCAAGAAACACAGAACTAAAAATAGCGGCTCTCCCTTGAAAACACTGCGCTCTTTATCCAAATGCACGTCATCACTTAGATGCAGGGCCTCCTGCTCTCTCCTATAGATCGGTTGGACTACAGTCCCCATCACGCTCCGTCAGCTCTGCTGGCTTTTGACCCGACCGGTTCGTCCTCCACCGCACGAGCCAAGACCAGTGTTGAGAAACTCGGTTGTTTGGCCAGCTGCTGAGCAGCGGCCTGGTTCGGGAGGTCGTGGCAAGCCTGCGTCCTGACCGGGGGCCCGGAGGTCAGCCCAGCTGCTGGGCGGGAGGGTGGATCCCCAGAGAGCTTCCCTCACCCCACCCCACCCCGCCCCACCTCTCAGGTGGGGAAAACGGAGCGCCTGGCCCAGGCCACCCAAGTGAGGCAACGGTTGGCCGGGGCCTGGGAGAGCGATCCTGCCAGGAGAGCCGACGCCGACAGCCAGCCGGCCCTCCGGGGGCTGGGGGCACGGCCTGCGCATTCCTCCGGGTGGGCGGCCTGTTGGGACGCTGGTTCTGCGCCGCCCGTCTGCGCTCCGTTTGTGGAGCCGCGCCCCCCAGGCGAGCAGGCTGTTGCTCGCAGCGTGGAGGTGAAGCGGGGCGGCGCTCAGGCGTTTCTCCCACCCGCAGACCCACACTCCCCGCAGCTGTCCCTGGCCTCGGAGGCTGGTGGTCCTGCCGGGCCTGGCCGCTTCTCCGCAGCGACCTTCCGAACTTTTCCCTGGCAATGAAAGCGGAGCTGACGTCCGCAGCTGTTGCGTGTGCCCCAGTGGGCTGCAGAGCTGTGAGTGCGTGGGGGGGGGGTCCCCAGCATGTGCGCCGTGCACGGTTTTCCCTTTGGCAGATGTGCGGAAAAGAGCGAGAGCCTCGGAGGGCGTGCCGCGCGAGCCCTGAACGGAACATCGGGGGGCCAGCCTCCCCTCGGGGCCCTGGTGGAGGGTCCTTCACACTTCCCCAGCCTACTTTGGCGAGCTCTTTCCCTTAATGGCACCAAGTCCAGTTTGCACTCTGGGAGTCCAGCGGAGGACAGAAGTGGCGTCGCGAGGGTGCCGAGGTGCTCGTTTCCCCACACTCGTTCCCCAGTGTGGGGCTCCCCATGGCGGCTTCAAGGAGAGAAGCTGCTGAGCACGGTTTTCTTTACCCCAATCACCGATCCATATGGAGGCACAAGGATCTTCACTAAAACTCAGGGGGGAAGGTGCTTGCCCTCTTGACCCCATGAAATTCTCAGAGAGCATCACGTTGACGGCCCAGGGTGCCTCCCAGCTGAGCACGCTCTTGGTGCGCGATTCGGGTTCGGTGGCGAGAAGGCGCCAGGGCTGCGGGAAACGGCTTTTTCTGTTGTGCTTTTCGTTCACCATTCGCCAGTGTGCGTGCGCCTGTTTCATGTGGCAGACAAAAGCTGACCTAGCTTCCAGTCTGTCCCCACGCCGAGAATACCGGTTTCCCCTTTTGTGGCCCACCGCACGGCTTCTTGTCCCGGTGACACCACTGGGCCGCGCAGCGATGGATCCACTTTTCGGACTTTTTCAAAGGCTCCAGCAGCTGGGATGCCACGAGTGTTGTTTGCTGTGCTTGCTTAGCAACCGGCTCTCCGCTGAAACCCCCAAGCATATTTCAAGCCCTGCATTTTTGAAGGCTTCCCAACACCCTCTGCTCCCCCAGGTACAACGCAGTAAATTTGCCTGCGGCACTTTCTCTGTAATCCCCGAATTGAATGTGCAGGGTTTTTTTCCTGTTGTTTTGAAAGGGTGACTTGAACCCCAGGAAATGTAGGCAGAGATGGTTTTGCCCTCGTTTGAAGAGAGCGAGAGTCGGCAGCTCGGCCCAGGGTGACAGCGCCTCTGTCTCGGTTGCCTGAGGCGGCAACATCCGTGCTTGTGGCTTATTCTTCCGGGATGTCTTGTTTTGTGCTGCTCGGTCCCGAGACGGGCTGCCTCTGGGTGGAAGGCGCCTCGGCTGGGCACTGCGATTAGGTGGCCATGCTCACAGGGCAGTGGCGCTGCGGGCAAGGACTGCTCGCGCAGCTGGGGTCTCATCCGTGCGCCTCTCTCCTCTCTCGTTCTCAGGAGTTGCTGTCAGATGACGGAGCCGAGGAGGAGCTGGACCCGGTAGGTGGCTCTCCCATGGGACTTTGGGCTCCGATCCAGCCGATCTCCCGCCTGCACAACGGGAAGACGCGTGGGCCCCCCCGGAGTCTTGCGCGCATGGGAACAGCGAGAGTCTGTTTCTGGGCCTCGCCTCTGCTCTGCTGTTGCGCGGCTCGCGTGAGGCAGGGTGTCCACTCGGCCTGCTGAGGGCTGCTTTTCCTTTGGGCAAGCGGCCGGGGCTGCGCGCTGGCAGTGGGTGAAGCCAGCGTCCCCAGGGCTGCAGGGAGGAGCGGCTCCTTTCCCTGGGCCCCGATCTTCTTTCTTCCCACCGCCGTTCTCTCCCCCGGGCCCACTGGGGTGTACAGGGGCCAGCGCGTCGCCGAGGCCCGCTGGCTTGGGGAGGAGCACCCAGGCCAGGGGCCCTCGCCAGCTCTTCTGGCCGCAGAGACCGGGCCCTCACTCCCTTGCAGCATCGGTTCAGGGGCCACAGTGAGCGGTGTGCAGGCGCGGAGGCGAGTGGGGGGGCCGGCACCCCAGCTTCCTTCGGCTTCCAGCTGCTGTGGCAGCCGCAGCTGGAGAGGTGTCACAAACGTTTAACATGGGGAAAGACCTGCCCGAGGAGCACGGCGTGGGGAAAAGGGTTCAGCCTTCAGGGAGGCCTGGGGGCTGCTCTGGGGCTCAGGTCTGAGGGAGAGTCAGACCAAGGCTGAGGAGACCCAGTTTAAAATCCCCAGTGAGCCACCCGGAGCTCGCTGGATGATCCTGGGAAGCATACATCTCTCCATCGGGGCCTGAGAGCCAGCGTGGTGTGGTGGTTCTGGTACTGGTCTGGGACCCAGGAATCTGGGTCCAAGTCCCCACACTGCCATGACACGCAGTGGTTGTCTTGGGCCAGTCCCTTTCTCTGAGCTGAGCCCACCTCACAGGGCTGTTGTGAAAAGAAAGTGAACCCATGTAAGCTGCCTTGAATTTCTTGCAAGAAAGAAAAGGCACATTATAAATACAGTGGAATAGTAATAATTAACTTGGCCATCAAGAGTGGGGTGTCTTCATGCCCCAAACACAAGCATCATGTGGTGGTATAAAACTCCCCTGTGGGTTTTTCCAAAGAAATCTGGTTTGGGGAAGCAGACAGGTTGTCCCCACCCACTCGGTTTCATTGGGAAAACATTTTCTGCAGCACAGACAGAGTTCTTACTGGGGGTTAAAAAAAAAACACCCCAATGCCCCAAAAGCATTTGCTTTCAGTAATAATCAACTTGTGCCTGAAATTTTGCATTGGCCATCCAAGCGAATATTTCTACTTTAGAATGCCTTTATTGTTACACCGAAGACTCATTAACACGGTGGAGCATTTTACAACATTTGGGAAATGGTTTGTGATAGTAAAATGACCCCAAAGCGCGCATACACACACACACACACACACACGCACGCACGCACACACACTTTTTTTGGGTGGTTGGATGAGGGATGAATAAAATTCCAACAGGAGAACCATCCCTGCCCAACCTGCCAGCTTTTTCCTTTGCCTGAGAGAGAAACGTGCATCCGTGTGGAGAGAGCTTAGCTTGCTCCGCAACAGATTTTATTATTTATTTATTTATTTTTCGATTTATATCCTGCCTTTTTCCTACAAAGGGCTCAAGGCAGCTTACATCATTCTCCTCCTCCATCTCATCCCCACAACAACGACCCTGTGAGGTAGGCTGGGCTGAGCGTCTGTGACTGGCCCGAAGTCACCCAGTGGGCTCCATGGCTGAGCGGGGACTCGAACCCGGATCCCCTGAGTCCCAGTCCTGTGCTCTTCACCACTATGCCACACTGGCTCTCTAGATTCGGAATTCCCAGCTGATATTCTGGGGTCCAAGATTTAATTTGTGGGCGGGAACCCCCGATGCAGCCCCCTTCAACCAGATAATGCGACATACCTCAAAGGTACCGCAGGCAGTAAAGAACAGGCCAGCTTTGCGCTGGTGAAGGAAGCAGAACACGCTTTGTGCAACACCGTTTGGTGTCTTAGACGCATCACAGACAGACCAGCGAGCCGCAATTTAATCTCGTCCTTTTGACCACAGAGCAGTCCGCTTTCAGGTGCAGGTGCAGGTACGTATCCGTGCTGGTCAGAGCCTTGACAACCGTGTTGACGGGCCTCTTGTTCCCTCGGTCCTCAAAGCTCCCAGGCTCGAAGGCGCTTCTCCAGGTGGACACCAGCCTGGCCATCAGGGGTGTCCCGTGTGATGGATCTTAGTGCTGGGCAGACTGGTAGGAAAGACCCTCCGCAGGCATCCCAGTCCCGAGGGTTTAGGGCTTCCCACATTGGCTCAGCGGTACATTTTGCACAGGCCTAGCTTTTACCATGTGTAGAACGAGTCACGTTGCGTGTCAGTGAAGCGTTGCCCATTTCCCGTGCCTTGCGACAGAAGGGTAAATTGTCAAAACCTGGGGTCCCTGGGTCACGCCTGCCTCCTTTTCCCTCCAGGTGGTGATCACCACGGGTTGGAACAGCCAGGGGAAGCTCGTGCACCATTTTAGCCAGCAGGGGGCGCTGCGGCAGCGAAGGCAAGGTGAGTCAACCCCTCCATCCTCCGGTCGGCCAGGTGTGTTGGGGGGCTGCGCGCCCAGGTAGCTGCGCACTTCTGCAGAGGCCTCGTGGGATGTTTGAACCTGTGTGTGCAGTGCACCGTTTCCCCCATCCTAGCGCTTCAGCGTAGCTGGGGGTGATGGGATTGCTGATAGCCCAGCACACCTGGAGGGCACCCAGTTGGGGACACCGCGTGGCAAGCGCATGGGAGGGACTGGCGCGTGATGGACACACTTTGCTCTGTTCGTTATCATCACAGGCGATCGGAAGAGAGCGATGGGTTTGATATTTTACCCTCCTCTTCCGTTCGCCGGAAATGAAAACACAGATGAGCCCTTCTTTAAAAGTCGTATTGAAAGCACATTAAAAGGAAGCAGGGAGCACCTGGCTTGGAGAGAGAACAAGCCCTGCGAAGGCGGCCCCCGGTTGGGCACGGGGGTGTGGGACTTGCCGCTGTCCTGCAGGGCATCTGGGTGTCCAGAGTTGTCCTTTCTTCATTTCATCTGTTTCAAGACCTTTTGGCCCACTCCTCAGCCCAAGTGGCTTAATCAGCCCCATTCAGAGGTTTGCCGGTGAAGAAGACACAACATAAGAGGAAAGAGGAAAGGGGAGGGAAGAGGGAGAATGAATACTGGTGTCATGTGTGCTGGGCGCAAGATAGATCAGGATCTGTAAATTGGTGGAGCCTGGAAACCGGACGTCTGCCCAACAAGTGCTCATCTGCCCATCCTGGTTGGCACCCGCGGAGTCCCATTTCATATGGACTGGCGTGCCTGAATTGCCACCCGAGCGCTTTGACCTGGGGTGCCACCAGGAGGCAGTGGGCACGGTCCGGGGCTGCGGAGCACATCCTTCCACCCCACTCCATCCTGCGCTGCAGCCCACGGGGCCAGAACTCCCTGGAGAGGGCGGCCCCGTTGCCACCCCGAAGCAGGCCAGCCCTGGCGTGCAAGAGCGTCGCCCACCAACGGGCTCACGGTCCCATTTCAGGGCTCGTGTGGGACCCACTGGCCCGCTGCTGTGGCACATGCCTGTGGCAGGGCGAATGCCGGAGCGATGGGCTCCCGGGCCAGAACTGGCTCTCCGGCCACGGACCGTGTTGGGGTGGCTGGGGCTCAAGAGGCGGCGCCTCCTACCCTGCGTTAGCCACGCGAGAGAATGCCGGACGTTTCCCCTGAGAGAGATTGTTTATTTTTTATTTATTAAACTTGGATCTGCACGAGTATTTCCGACCATTCGGCAATAGGCAAAACAACCCTGCAGGTAGGTGGACTCCTAGTCCACAGAGGGGGAGACCCCCAGAAATTAGCCCCGCCTGGCAGACTGCACCGGAGACGGACCTCCAGCACCCCCCGAACCGTGGGCAGGGTCTGGAATCTCGCCCTTCCCAGCGTGGCTGGTGCAGAGAGAAGTACTGGGCCTTGGGGAGGGGAGACCGGCTCCGGACTGAGTGGGTGGGGGCTCAGGCTGCCCACCCAGGCCTGGCACACCGCCCGTGGGCACCCTGCGCCCTTCCTGCCCGCCCAGGGGTCAAGGACGCCTATTCTCTCCCTCGCTCGCGCTCTGTTTGCGTCCCTCTGTGTTAGCAGGGGTGCTCTTTATCTCCTTAGAAATGCAGGGTAAGATTCACAAGCGTTCCTTTCTCGGGGTTGAGTGTGTCTGTGTGGATGCAAAACCAGGGGTGGTTCTGCTGGCCATCCGCATCCCCCGCACAGGATCCCAAGCCGTTCCAGGCGATCTGCAGGCAAGCGCCTGTGTTCAAGGTGTCTTGCCCCGCAAGGTGGCCTGGCAGAGCACTCCCGCTGCTCAGAGAGGGTCTCCGGGGGAGCCGGTCGCGGCGGCGTCTCTGGCCCTTTCACCCGGCCCACCTCTCCCCTTCCTCCAGCAGCCAGGAAAGGGAAGCGTTCCCGGCCTCGCCAACCCGGCTCCGTCTCGGCGGCGCATTACGAAGGTGAGCGACGTGCAGCGAGCCCGTGGGCCCCCGACAGGCCTGGCCTCCGGGGCTGTCCCTGACCCTCATGTGCAGAGAAAAAGGGGCCCCCCTAGACGTTGGCATGGCTGCGAGGCCCCGCCTCCACGGGGGACCCCACACCCCTCTTCCTGTCCCCCAGGCCACCCGAGAACCCCGCCTGACCTTCTTCTTTCTTCCAGTGCACTCCACCGAATCCCGGGCAGGGATCCAGGCAGGTAACACTTCATAGGCAGGTGCGGGGGGGGGGTGAGCAGGGGAGGCCCACCTGCTGGGAGCAAGCAGGAGGCCACTGAGGCCGCCCAGGGGTGCCCCCCTCCCCGCTCTTCGCATCCCAACCCCCCCACCCTCCCGCACCACAGACGCCAACGGGACCATCCGCGGGTGGGCGGAAGCCAAGCTGAACACGACGAATCCCCTTCGTTACGACAGCAGCCGTGGGGAGTTCACCGTGGCCAAGAGGGGGCTGTATTACCTGTACTGCCAGGTGAGTGGGGCAGGTGTGACCCAGAGACTTCTCCGAGGGGGGCGGCTTGTGGGTAACAAGGACGAGGGACCCCGGCGGGGGGGGGGAGAGGAGGCCAGTCGGTGGGTGCTTCTGAAGGGGCGTCCCCACACACGCCAGAGTGGGAGGGGAGCCGGCGTGTGTGGCAGGGCCCGGAGTCGGGGTGCCTCCGTGGGGATGGCCGGGGGTTCCCTGTGCTTGGCGGTCCCAGTCGCACCCGGGAAGCGTGGCGATCCGTCCGCTGCTGCCCCCTGCCACATCAGGGCATTGTCCCCACTTGTGTTCACATCTGTTTAGAAGAGGGGAAACATCTGCATGTGTGAAAGCGCCCAGACGCTGTCCCCGAAAACCAGGGCAGTTTTGCGACAAAAGCAGAAATAGATGGCACCATCGAGAGGAATTAACGGCTCCGTCCTGCCTGCGGTGCGGCTCACCCAGCGTTCCCCAACTGGGCGCCCCGGGTGTGCCGGAGTGGGCCAGCTGGGGAGGCTAGCTGACCGGGGATGCTGGGAGCCGTAGTCCAGCAGCCCCCGCGTCCTCCTCGGCGGCCGGCCGCCACCCGCTGAGGAACGCCGCTCACCCTCCCCGCCCTGTGCCCCCCCCGGTGCAGGTCCATTTCAACGAGGGCAAAATTGTCTACATGAAGCTGGACGTGCTGCTGGACGGCCAGCTGGCCCTGCGCTGCCTGGAGGAGTTCCTTCCCACCAGCTCCGGCCCGCAGGTGCCCGAGCTGCGGGTGTGCCAGGTGTCCGGCCTGGTGCTGCTGCGGCCCGAAGGCTCCATCCGGCTGCGCACCATCCCCAAGGTGCGGCTGAAGGCTGACCCCTACCACACCTACTTCGGCCTCTTCCAGGTGCACTGAGCGAGCAGGGCTGGGGCCGCAGAGGGGCAGGGCGGCCTGGGCTTTCGTGGGGCTGGTCTGGGGGACGAGGCCCAGGGCAGGGCAGGGCAGGGCAGGGGACTGGGAGCCGCTGCGGAGGGCCCTTCCCCACTGCTCCGGCCGGCGTCTGTCCGCTGGTTCCTCTCCCCGCCTGATCTCCCGTTTCCTGCTTTCGGCCCCACATGGGACTCTTTGTCCGCTTCTGTGTTGACGGAAGCGGGAGAGGGGAAGGCAGGGGGAGCCGCTGCCCCCGTGGCGATCCTCGGAGCGCTCTCCCGTCGAGCCCTGCTGTGAACTGTTGGACCCCGAACCTCAGCTACCAACCAAAACAGTGCAAAAGCACGAAAGGAACTGCGTCAGTTGTGCCGAAAGGAGTGGATTCGGCCGCGTTTCCTTCCTGGACTGTGTTTTCTTCCCAGCACTGCTTTTGCTGCCGCCGGTTTGCACCCTGAACTCCCCTGCTCCACTGTAGTACCCCTACTCTGCTTTCTCGCGTGGGGAGCCGGATGCTGCGGGACGCTTCCAAGCCTTGTGCAACTCTGCGGGTGCGGCTGCCCCCCTGCTCCAGCTGGGGGCAGCACAGAGCGCCCGATCCCGGCTCGCCTGCGCCTGGAGGCTGCAGTTCTGCTCATGGCCAGGTGAGGGTGACAAAATGCAGAGGAAGAGGAGGCCGTCTGCCACGAGGAGTCCCGCCTTCTGCAAGCCACCAGGGGCCAATGGGATGCGCAGAAGCTTCCCATTGGCTGTGCAAAGCGGTGGGGCTGTCCATGGAAGAATTCCTGTGGGGGAGTCCAGCCTCCGGATTTTTTTCCTACCGGCCACGGACAGCCTTGGAAAGGGAAGAATGGAAATGGTGACGGTGTTACTGGACCTGTTTGTACAGAAGAGGCTGGGATTGAATGGAGGCATCTTAACAGAAAAGTCTTGTTAAAAACAATGTGTGCATCTTTATTTCCTGTATCTGTGAGTGCATCGGCTCGCACAACACGACAGCCCACACTCGGGTGTTGAGGTCGGGTTGCTGTTGAACTGTGGACTGTGGTTGAACCCAGCCAAGATAACAAATCGTGGTAAACAATCCGCAGTTCACAACCCAACAACAAACCATGATTAAAACATTATGGGTTGTGGGCATGGCAGGTTCAGACAGCATGGTAACCTGCATCTCAGCAAGAAGCCAAGTTTCAGGGAAAGTTTACCCAACCTGTAGCCCTGCAGTGTGGGTTAACAGGTGGTTGGTTGTCTGGCCCCAGCTGAAGAGAGAAACCAAGGCGAACCTCCTGCAGTTAAACCCCCCCCCCAAAACAAACCATGGGTTCTTATTAGCAAGCCATGATTGTCAGCTAAGGGCAGGCAACCCAATTTCCCACATCTCAGCAAGAACCTGTGGCTGGTGCAGGACGAGGGGGGCTGCACCCCACCCTGTCCGGAGGGCATCAGGCTGAGGAAAGCTAACCTAAAGGGAAAGGGGTGTTTGGCTTAGCTTGCCCTTTGCCTTGAGCCCAATTTCTGCCTTCACCAGGTTCCCAAATTGCCGCCCCCCCCCCGCAAAAAAGGGCAATTTAATCTGCAAAAAGGGCATGATCCTGGAAAAGGGGTGTGTGCGCGTGAGAGAGGGGGAGAGAGAGGGCATTTCCAAGGTATGCTTCCTCTCCTTTCCCAAAGCAGAACTCCATGCAGTGCAGGACCGTGGAGGAAATGAGCGTTCCCCCCTCGTGCTGCAGGACTCCAGCGCAGGATGAAGCCTGCTGAGCAGGGAAGCCCTGCGGCCCGACTGTGCTCAAGACGCTCCGCTCCCAGGCTGGGCGAGCACCTTCGATCCTGAGCCGAGCCGTGATTCCGTGCAATTTTGGGCACCTTGCTTAGGGGCCAGGCTGGGAAAGCAACGCTCTCGATCCCGAGTGGAGCGTGATCTGGCCAAGTCCCCGTCACACGAGGCAGTGACTCCCTGAATTCCCGACCAGCCAGGCCGTCGGGACTGGTTGTACCGACATCCCTGCTCATGCTCTTGGGAGAGCTGGGGGGGACGGGGGCGTGAGTCAGTAGCAGTAGCAGACCCCCCCTCCATTCCATTTTTTTCCAGCTACGTTGGGATTTGTGTTACGCAACCGGGGACTTTTGCTGTGCTCGCATCCAAATGCACAGGGTTGAGCGCTTTCGGCTCAGGTTGAATCCCGTTTGGCGTTCCCGGGGACTGTCCCAGTGGCAACAGGGGTGCAGCCCGATACAGCAGTGACGCCTGTGTGGACACAGCAAACTTGCGTGACACTTTGTTGGAGGGGGGCCGTTCTTGTCCCCACCAAGGACTGGAGGACCCTGCAGAAAGAACGGCAGGGAAATGCGGCCGTGCTCGGAGGAGGAAGGTGTTTGGCATTTTGGGGGGCCTGGCATGAAGGAAAGTATTTTAAAAAAAATGTGCAGGAGAAAGGCACAGAGTCTCTTTTATGACAACCCTCATTCCCTCCCCAGCTGAGAGGAACGTCTTTGATGCCAAAAAGAGGAAAGAATACGCTGCGCTGAGCGATGGGGAATTTCCACAGCCCCCCCCCCCGCACGGTCTAGAGGGAAGCGGCAGGGCTTTCGCTCCGGCTGTTCTAGTCTTGTGCTCCAAAGGCAAAAGGGGAACAAGGAGAACACAAAGGGCCCGTTGCGTCTTCCACAGCCAGCCTTGCAGCTTTCCCATCTGCCCCATGCCACTGGCTGGGGATGATGGGTGCTGTAGTCCAACCTATCTGAGGGGCCCAGGTTGGTGGAGGTTGGGATACCCCACCACGGTTCTCAGGGTCTGGGTCGCAGCCTGGGCAGCACAGACACCGAGAGGAGGGTCTTGCGATTGCCCCGGATGTATAGGTGCAGTTGGAGCCCCCCCCCCCCCCCCCCGAAGGACCGCTTGGTGGAGGACGATCGCGCCTCCACAGCAAAGTCCTCCTGCGCTGGTGCAACTGGGGGGCTTCCAGGCATTTTGGACTCAAAACTTGGCTGGCACTGCCCATGTCTGCGGCTTCTCAGAGTTTCAGGCCAAGGTTTCCCGAAACAGATTGAATCACCCAATTCCCGGCTTAGTTTCATGGGAATTGCCCAGCGGACCGGGGGGGGGGGGCAGCTGCGGTCCTCCGGATGTTGCGAGCTGCAGCTGATGGGACGTGAAGTGCAACGCCTCCGGGGCACAAAGTTGGGGAAGGTGGGGCACCAGAATGGCTTTCTGCCGGTGTGTCACTTAGGGGCCACGCTCGCCTCCCCAGAGCGTAGGGCCTCTGCGTGTCCCTCGCCCCAGCTCAGCCCTCACGACACCCCTGCGAGGAAGGCTGGGCGAGGAGTGGCGGGTCCAAGCCAGCGATGGCGAACCTTCCGCGCCCCACGGGGCCGCAGCCGCGAGGGGCCGCGCTGGCGGGGGATGATGGGCGTCAGGTCCGCACGCGCCGCTTCCAGACGGCCGGCCCCCCGGGCCTGCGGAAGGGCGACGGCGCGGGCCAGGAGCAAAGTCTCGGGCGCGGGCGCGCTCGAGCACGTGCGCGCGGGAGGCCGCCCCACGCGGCGCGGACGCGGCCCGGGCCGCCCGCGGGCTCTTGGCTGCGCTCCACGGTGGGCGGGCGGAGGCGCGCCGAGGGCCGCGTCTTGCACAACCGCTGCCTCCGCTCCGGCCAGGCAGCCGACGGGCAC